TAATACGTGCTGGGTTATCATAGCGACACACAACGAAAATTCACAGTCAAGGATAGCGCTTTTACGCGGAACGATGAGCTCTCACCACGCCGCCCACGTCGACGATCAGCCCTGCCCGCGACCGGCGCGACAGGCATGCAACGCGCGTAACCAGTTCTCCTCGACCTGTGATTAGTCTGTCGTTGCGGTTGTTTCGGTTGTTTCCAACGCAGCGAGGAAAGTTGGGCTCGCTCCAACTCCTTGCGTTGCGAACGACACATGAGCGCGTCCCTCCGTCGCTATGGCAACTGACGGTTGCAGACCCCTGCAACGGTCGTTTCGGTTGTTCCGGTCGCTACGGACGCATGTGTGTGAAAGGGCCCCGACGGTCTGTCCAGGAATGAATGTAGGTCGCTTGACAGCACGTCTTCTGTCTGAGTACATCTTCATGCGTTCTTGGTATTTCTCGATTGTCTGTGGAAGCCTTTCTTGGACTATGGACCTTGAAAGTTGCGGGTTGGGGACTGGACGCCCCGAAAGATGAAGACGGTCACGATGGTTCCTGCCGTGTAGCAAGAACGCAGGAGTCTCTCCCGTCGCAGCATGACGAGTGGCACGAGTACTCCGTGACTGTCTCTTGGAGGTTTCGTTTATGTACGACAGCCAACTGAATGGTGGACTTCAACACGCGGTTAAAGCGTTCCACCTGTCCATTCGCTTGTGGGTAGTACAGGGATGTCCTGAGATGACGAATACCCTGAGTCTTGAGGAATTCTGTAAATTCTTTGGAGATGAACTGGGGGCAGTTGTCGGTGACTATTTCTTCCGGCAGCCCCTCTCGTGCGAAGACGAACTTCAGAAAGTCTATCACGGACGCAGTCGTGACGTTGTGAACACTCATGACCCCCAGCCACTTGCTGTGGTAGTCCACAAGAGTTATGAAGAAACGCTTGTTGCGCGGAGCGCATTCGAACGGACCAACAATGTCCATGCCTAACTTCGTCCAAGGACGAGATGGAAAGTCGACTGGCTGTAATAGTGCTCGGTACGTCTTCGCAGGTTTGTCTGTAGACTGACAGATGGTGCAATGTTGGACATATTGTTTGATGTGGAGAGATACTTGAGGCCACCAGTAGAGTTCTTTGATGAGGCCTGTGGTCCTCCTGATCCCTTGATGCGTTGTGTGCGCCATCTCGATGACCTGGTCACGCAGACTGGTCGGCACGACAATCTTTTCGGCATTTAACAGCAGTCTGTCCACCTGTGACAGCTGTTCTCGGACTGCGAAGTAGGACTTGAACCCTGGAGGCAGCTTGTCTTCAGCTGGCCACGTTGACGAGATGTACTCCATGACCTTCGGTAGAATAGGGTCACGAGCTGTTGCATCTTGAAAGTTGCGCTGGTTCAGTGAGGCGCAGACAATGGAAACCACTTCCTCAGGAAACTTGGTGTCATTTTCGGTGTCTTTGACGGGCAGACGGGACAGTGCGTCTGCAACGGTGTTTTCAGCTCCCTTGAACTACTCCATCAGGAAGTTGTAGTTGAACAAACGGGCTGTCCAACGACTGATGCGTAGCGGTCGGACTCCCGTGCCCTGCGTAGACATGAGGGGGACGAGTGCGCAATGTTCGGTGCGGATGGTGAACTGTCTTCCCCAGAGGTACGCATGCCACTTCTCGCAGGACCACAGGATCGCCAGGGCCTCCTTTTCTCCCACGGAGTATCTTCCCTCGGTGTCCGTCAAGGAACGGCTTGCGAAGGCCACTGTCTTGAGCAATTCTGCCCATGCTGTTGTTGCAGAACTGCTCCGAGACCGTAATTCGAAGCATCGGTCGACACGATGACCGGTAACATCTGGTCGAACATCGGATGGGTAATTTCTGGAGACCAGTTTTGACTTCCTGGAAGGTGCTCTCGACGTCAGGAGTCCAAGAAAAAGAATTGCCTTTGCGCAATAAACGACGCATCGGTTTCACCACTGTCGCGCAGTCTGGAATGAATTTGCTGTAATATTCCACTAAACCGAGGAATGCCTTGAGTTGCGTTGGATCGGACGGTGTGAGAAAGTTCAGAACGGCTTCTATCTTGGACGGAAGGAGCGCTACGCCTTCCGCGGATAGACTATGGCCGAGAAAAGGCAAAGTTGGGACGCGGAAAACCGCCTTTCGGTTCAACTTCATGCCAGTGGACTTGATTCGTCGGAGGACTTCATGCAGGTGCGTGTCATGTTCTTGAGGTGACGATCCGTAGACGACCACGTCGTCCAGGTAGAACTGTACGCCGGGGTAGCCCTTAAGGATCTTCGACATAACTTGCTGGAACGCGGCTGGCACGGAGGCCAGGCCGAAGCAGACACGCTTGAAGCGAAACAAACCCTCATGCGTAATAAACGCTGAGGTCTCGACTCTTGGGGTCGAGTCGCACTTGACGGTAGGCCGACGTACTTCGAGCTTGGAAAAGCAAGATGCTCCTTTGAGCGAGTTTGGGAGCTCGTCACTATGCGGTAGTGGAAACGAGTCGATCACGACAGCGCGGTTGGGAGCCCAAAGATATCAACGCACATGCGGACACCGCTGTCTCTCTTCTTTACGACTACAATCGGCGAGACCCACTCTATGGTCGGCGAGATCACGACTACGATCGGCGAGATGCGTGATCGAGCGCTGATGCGCTCGATCACGCCCTAACGTTCAAGTTTCTGGATCTCGGCCGTTACGGACTCAAGCAACGTGAACGGTAAACGACGGAAGTTCGCCTGTACGGGTGGGACATGATGACGGACCGTGACGGTATGTGTCTGGTTTACGACCAGACCCAACTCGGACACCAACTAGCCCAAGCACTTACCATCCCAACTTTGGTTCAGCTTTCAGTGATGACGAAGACGGGATTTCGGCCAAAGAGAGAAGGCAACTGTGTCCGCTCCGCACGCAAATAATACTACAAATGCGCACCAAAGCGCGGCGAGCACGCAGACTGCGGAGCACACGGCGCCAGCTTTGGTGGCACTAATGCCCCTGAATAAGAAATGTAGCGACATCTCACCGCTCCTCTGACGCGCACACCTTTTAACTTTATGTTGTGCTTTTTTACCCTCGCGCGTCGACTGTAGCGCCGCCTGGATCGGCCCCAAGATAGCAGACGTTCTTCCTATACTTGAGTCGGAGCACAGGGAAAGGCCTGAAAGAGGGGCAAATACATACACACAGGCCAAAAGCGCACTGTCACGGTCTACCAGCCTCAAAGAATCTGCTCAGAGAAAGACGATGAAAGCCGTGACGTTCCACAGTCGGCGTTACTTGATTGGCAAAATGAGCTCATAGCATGCACTGCACCCCGACCCAGCATAGGCATTCCTTTTCTCTGCTCGTCCCTCATGCACACTCTAAATTGTTATATTTTGCTATTTTGCGCTCGCACGTTGACTGTAGCGCCGCCTGGATCGGCCCAAGATAGCAGGCGGCATTCTTCGAAGGATTACGCTACTTTTCTGTATAAAGGGACGTTAGGCGGCACTAGCTGGTGCCTTCTGTAACAGTCGGCGCCCTTTTTACCGCGGAACCAACACAAACAGAAAAACAAAAGTACCCCACTGTTGCAAACCTAAACTATGCGGTAGCCCGCCCACTGAATCTGGCTGGACCTCGAAGACAAGCAGGCAAAGAGGAACTCGCTGCCCGCATTCGAGGTTCTTGCGTTCTGTTGGTGTGGTCGGTGTGGTATCGTGTCGACCGATCTGGCAGATTTTGGCGACTGATCGACATCCATCGTGCCAGCACAAACAGCCAGCCTCGTGACACTAAAACGATTTGTACTTGTAAGCGGAGACATGCATTTTACCCTCGTTATGTTCACCTAAAGTTTTGTTTTTATGACCGCGCTTTCTCTGATCCACTTGAACAGGCCACGCGTCTATTTTTACTTGTAATCTTGTGGACCTCAAAATGGTGCTATATTTAAATGAAGTGATACTGATTAATTGTTTTTGCTCAATTCAAGGGACCCATCATTGCACAAATATTCGGGAGGCACTCACTTGATCGAATAACGTTTTAGCGAATGCCCACGTTTTACCGAATGACACTTTAGCGAATAGTCGGACGCCGCGAAGTGGCGTTTTCGGGTGGGACAAATGGGTTCACATTTTTGTAATGAGCTGCCGCAGACTGTCGCCGCGAGGCGGCATAAAGCGCAGCGCGGCGGATGGGTTAACGCGCGCCCCCGTTATTCGCTAAAACGTCGATTCGCTCAAATGTCGCTGTTCGCTAAAACGTCATTCGCTCATGTGATATGGACCCCCAATATTCTAGGGGCAGGGTGTGTCTTGGCTAATTGAAAAGATCCGAATGTTTATGTGTCGGAGGTGCAGGAATGGAGTACACTAAAGAAAGTCCTTAAAGAACAGATGCAAAGAAAAAATACACTTCTTGTAAGCAGCCGCGTTAGGAAAAGGAAGTCACAAAACGAATTTACAACGAAAAAGAAAAAAATATAGAGCTATATTTACTGCGCGATACAAATTTGTAGTTGGCACCCGCGGGCAGGCGCCGCGGAAAAGTGGCCGCTATTTGTCTCGTGGTGCTTGCACTCTTTCGGAAGCTTCCTATGGCGTCTAAAAGTAACTTATTCAGCTTCGTTTGAAGTGCAACAAAAAACTAAGATTAATAAGTAACTTTTAGAGCACAAAGGAAACTTCTGAAAAAGCACAAGCAGACGTGATACACTTGTGCGCCGGTCAGATGACGGCGGCGGCGCCCCGGAGCAGACGAACTTGCGCGGCGGCGGTGGCTGCGGCTGCGGCGGCGTGGAGAAATGCGTTGAACCGGTGGCACACACGCACCACGCTCAGCGTGCGGCGGCGGCGTGACTTTGAGGCGGCAGCGGCGCCGCGCGACTGCGCACAGGTCTGCCACGTGACCCCCGGCGGCTCCCGCAAGCACCTATTACAAATTCATTGTGCGCCGTAAATATTGCTCTAAACATTTTTTTCTTCGTTGTAATTTTGTTTTATAACGTTATTTTTCCATCTAGGCTGCTTAAAAAAAAAAATAATTTTTCCTTTGCATGTGTCCTTTAATACTTTGATAGACTTAAAGTTACTTTGCAACGCCAGAAAAACAAGAAAATACACGTTTCTTAAAAAAATGTTTTTCTTTTTTTATCTATGGCTATTGACGTGCGAAATACCGAAGTCAAAAGCAGAGATTTGGGATTACTTCATAAAAGATGCGACAAGCGGATATGCTAAGTGCACTTTGTACAAAAAGGAATACAAGACAAGTGGAAACACTTCAAATTTAAGAGACCATATGAAACGAAACCATGCCGGATCATCGTTGCACCAGGATCGGGAAAAGCGAGAGCCCGAGGAAGTTGGAGACTCGCGAATGGCTGTGGCTGGCCCCTCAAGGCCGAAGCGAAGCCAGTTACATTCATTTGTAGCTGATGTTAGAGGTGGGGTTTAGGCCGCACGTCCATTCCCTGAAGTGAAGAACCCAGGGGTCCAGTGGAGGTGGGAGAATTGGTAACGTAACGAACGGTTTAATTACATGGTTGCGATACAGTCGTCAAACCCGAGAGAACAACGGAGCAGCCTCACGCCCCGCCTTATATAGGGTCCGTTTCTCCCTCACTCGTTTCTCCCTCTCCCGCCGTCAAGTACGTCCTAGCAAAGTCCGCCGCGTCGTAGCCAGAAGTGCGTCGTAGCCAAAGTTCTCCGCAGTTAGGCCCTGCCTCTCTCCCTTCCAAGTGTGATGTAGCCAAAGTTCTCCGCAGTTAGGTCATGCCTCTCTCCCTTTCCTGAGCGCAACAACCCCCACGCACACACACACGCGTCCCGTTGACGTCACGGATGCGTTGAGACTTGTTTCCGCAGGCCCCGACAAGCAGGCGACGGTCCCGGACACGACGGGACTCATTTCGTGATGGTCCCGACAAGCGGACAACGGTACCGGACTCGTCTTGACTCGTTTCTGCAGCGTTGAAACTTGGAAGAAGGTCGCCGAAAGTTCCGTTCTTAACACTGAGAAAGCCATGCAGTACGGGGACCAGACTGAAAAGAAAAATAAACTTGACAAGGAATTGGCCCTGATGATAGCTAAAGACATGCAACCATTTTCTATAGTCACCGACTAGGGATTTCAAGGCTTCTGTCATGCGCTAGACCCCAGGTACAAGTTGCCAAGCCGAAAGCCGACTTCAAGCGTTCTTTTACCTAATTTGTATGACGAAGCCAAAACAAGGTTGTGAGACCTGCTGACAGACATGTGGACATCATGCACGACTGACAGCTACGTCACTGTCACCTGCCATTTTGTGCAAGAAACAGTTCTGCGGTCTGCAGTGTTATCAACTGCGGTTTTTCACGGAGCTCACACTGCTGAAAACGTGGCCCAGGCCATCACAGGTGTGGCAGAAGAGTGGGGTATTCGAGAGGCGATCGTTGCGCTTGTCACAGACAACGACAAGAGGATGATTCTCGCGTCCCGGCTGCTCAACATCGAGCACCTACCGTGCTTCGCTCACACGTTGAACTTAACCATCCAGGATGGACTAAAGAGCGGTGATGAACTGAACGACGTTTTGTTGAAATGCAAGAACATTGTGCGTCATGTGAGGTCGAGTTCCATAACTACCACCAAACTCCAAGAAGAACAAGAGCGCTCTGGTAAAGTACCGGCGTTGAAACTCACGCAAGAAACTGAGACGCGATGGAACAGTGTTTTATACATGCTGAAGAGGATCCTAGAAGTTGGGGAGGCGCTAACGTTTACGTTGACGAAGCTACCCCAGGCGCCAAGTCCTTTGTCAGAAGATATCATGCTCATCGAAGACGTTGTCCAGATTCTGGACCCTTTTGAGGAAGCCACAAAATTGCTGTCTGGAGATCAGTACACCACCGTATCTCTAATCGTTCCTGCTGTCTGCGGCATCGCAACAGAGTTGAATAAGCGCATTGAGCCTGCACTGAAAACCGCTGTGGCCAAAGAAGTGCTTCGAGACTGCGTTTCTGCTTTGCATAGAAGAATGTATGCTTACGAGAAAAAACGAATGGCAATCGAGCATATAGCATCATGACGGGTCGTGCCCAAATAAATAAAAAAGCAAAAAAAAAAAAAAAACTAAAAAGGTACGCGGCGGCATTTTTCTTTTGATGGCACCCTGGGCGACCGCCCAGGTTCCCCACCTCTAGGGCCAGTCCTGGTCGCCTCCACAAACATCACATTCAAGCCCAATGATGCTGGGCAGATCTTGAAGGAAGCGGTCTACAGCATAACAACTGACCATTGACATGACTTGTGTAGAGCATGTGAAGAGTCCAGTGATAATAGTCTGGACGTATTTTGTGAGTTTTCCAAATAAGAAAAATTACGGTATGTTATTCCATTTTTAATTGTTAAATTTGCATTTCTCTTTTTCTTCTTATTCAACTTAAAGGGGCACTGACACATCAAAATCATATTTTTTTTTATTATCCGAAACGGTTGAAAACGATGCCGGGACATTACCCTCAAAATTTGAAATTTGGGAATTCAGTATTTGTGAAGTAAAAAAACAATTTCCAAATGCCGAATTCGAAGTTCCCGCGCGATCGGCGCCGGTGCCTTGACGTCAAAAATTCCGGAGATCTGAGAGTCCACTTCCCTGTCACCACTCCCTGCTGTTGCCATGGCGACCCAAAGCGAGGAGCTAGCGAGGAGGATAGGAGCGAGCGCCGGCTAGCGCCGGCGTTGCGGCGGACCGGTTTTGAGCGGTGTCGCCTGTTTTCCGTTGGAGGATACAAATCCAGGAGACGGCACCACAACGAACTCCCGATTTTTGGTATTTCAAAAAGAAGGGCCGTAGTGCGTTCGCAATTGCGTTAAAAAACATGTTTTAGGATTGCCGTCATTAAATGTTATAAAGATGCCGCCTACAAAGCTTCTAAATTTCCTGATTTTTGACGTCACCGATCAAAAGAAGCGAGGAGGCGAGAGGCGGGAAAATCAAACGCCAAAAATAAAAAGGCGCGCGCGCGGGAAAATTTTTTTTCGCGATGCGTTTTTTTTTGCGTGTCTATGGCTGCAACTTGCATCGTTTTAGACAATAAAAATAAATACGACCTTTGGGGTGTCAGTGCCCCTTTAAAATCAAGGGTTGTTTTTGTTTCTTTCACCTTTTGGGGTCGGCATAGAATCAATAGCGGCCTAGGTTCAAATGAATATCGTACTCCCTGCCACTACCACATCAAGTGCTCCTAGGCTTCCAAGTCAATGGCATTGCACATGAGCACACTTAGGAAACAATATACTTTGTTTCGGCCTCAATTGGCAAAAAGTGGATGCTAGAACCCCTAAGCCAACCAGAACGATCAAGTTTTGCTCCACCGTTTCGAGTGGCTTGCCTGCAGCATAAGGCAGTCGCTATAAGAACCTATCTAAGACAATGGTTGAGATAGTAAAATGTTTGCTATCAGATGGTATACATCCCCATGTTTTGAATAAAGCTCTCTAAGCACTGAAGTGGCTAGAGAGCACTCTGCCAACAAAATGACCTATTGCTTTATGCCAGTCTCCTCTCTGAAAACCTTGTTAAAGGTGCCACTTCGTCACACAAGCGATGCTTTTGATCTAGAACTTGAAGAAATTGGCATGGAGATCACAAAAGGCATCATTGGGCAATAGGAAGTTCACGTCAAGTGCACACTCCATCTAAGGAGCCTCCTGCAGTCGGAAGGTGCGACGCCACTTGTCCGTGACCTTCTCATTGCCGACATGGAAGACACACTCAAAATTCCAAGACTGTTCACAGAATAAAAAATTCTGATAAAGGTTGAAAAATTATTTTACAATCCTACCAGGATGGTGAAATTTAACTGTCAAGATGCCAAGAGAAGATGTAACAGTTCTAGCAGAGTATCTTGTCAATGTCATACAGTGCTGGCATATCCTCCGAGACATGCCAATCTTGCAACATCACACCTTAAGGAATATGATTGGCCTGAGTCATCTTGTAGCACCATTTGAAGCAGCCAAAAGTCCATGATGAAGCAGCAAAAAATACTTTTAGAGCACAAGCACACACTTTTTTTTTTACTAACACCACTGTGAATATTATACTATGTTAAAGGAGTACAGAATTGAAACTTGAAATATCCCTGGAACACATTGAAACGGGTGAAATATGATCCATGATATTAATAAATATGATAATCACATGCTTGTATTTTCAGCAGATGGCTATATTTTTTATTACAACCGACAGATTCTGCCGAGCGCCTCAAAATCAGCAATCGAGGCAGCACGATGCATCTCGGGAGATTTGACAGTGACGTCACGCTCGCAATGTCACGGGTTCATAAACGGCCAAAGGTACTGTAATTACAATCGTCGTCCCCAGGTCGCGCCAGCTTTATCGTCAACGCATTACAATCCCGCCAAGTGGGAATACCCAAGGTATTCCCACTTTTAATAACATATTAGTAATTTCTGTCACTGATACCCTGGTGAAATCCAATAGATTATGTAAGGCTGCAGTAAGATAGGTTGTTGTCCGAACTTTTCGCAAATCTGACCAATCCGACCATGTTCAGAGTCGCAAGTGCTCATTCAGGAACCTTGATCCTCAATGAGCACTGCAGTTTAACTTACACATTATTTTCCGCAGACCAAAGTACCATTCCACCCAAGGGTGTTTGGTTGGAACTGGTAGCATGATGCACTCCCTCTTGGCGGAATTGTTGTGTAGTCTGGTACAAGGACCGACGACCCCAGAACTTCTTTTTTTTTTTTTACTCGCGTGCCCGCTCAGCCGCCCAGCTGACCACCGTGGCCCCGCAACCGGTGCGCTCAGCCAACGCTCAGCCAGTGGCCAAGCTGGCCAAGCGCCAAGCGATGTTTGGAGCTTTCGATTTGGAAGTTTGTATTTCTGCATTTTAACTTTCAACAAACTCCAGTAGAGATGAACAGTCGACGCCGCGAAAAAAGAACAAGAAAAGTGCAAGCATGAAGTTTGCAGATTTCAACACGAAAAACGAATAGACCGATCTCACAAGCCAGTTTGACTACGCCACCGCTGCCGCAAAGCATTGAGGAAACTTTAGTCTTTCTGCACGTGCGACAACCTCGCTGGAGCTCTGAACGTGCAGGCCACGAACAGTCTCATGCACTGCCGATTGCCTCCGGTGAACTAAAGTTATGGCTACCTCGCGCATGCGTCGAACGCTTGGTGAGATCGGTCTATAGGCCATATGCAAAATCCTTGCCAGCTAATGGCATCATCATCATGCCATTAGGAGCCGCTATATTGGGGGGTTTATCCCATCTTCTAGTTGTGGACGAAGCGCATCTACATTAATCTCGGTTTTCATATTAGGGCAGTTTATTTGTACACTCAACCGGTTGCTGGTTAGTTTCGGTTCAAAGAAAAGAAAGACGGCCGCAAAATTCTGGAAAAGTAATTGTCAGCAACGAAGTCGCAACAGTCGTCACTCAAGCAGTGAAGTGGGCCATCCAGTTCAATGAACGGTATTTCTCGAAGACGTCTGTGAAGGGTTCGTACTGGACTTGCATCAGGTGATCATATCTTAGTTGTACGACTTCCATTTTGCCGGGACTATTGTGAAACGGGCGAAACCATGCATCGGTACGGGAACCCCCCCAATGTGGGGAAAATCTGATAATTGGATCATGAATACACTAGATGGCGCTTCTTTTTGCATACGGTCTAATGGCCACAAGCACATCATCATCATCATGGCGCGTAGCAGACGACGTATACAGCATCTGCTATGCACGGCAGTTTTGAAGCGCATAGACGAGCATGGCAGCAACCTGCTCCTCTTTTGCCAGTGTATTAGACGCAAAGGGATGGACAACCAACCTAGCCGAAGCTCTCACGGTGTTGGAGGGAAATATAGACAGATTCTTCAGGCAAACAGCTTCGATTTCAACAAGACAAACGTTTAGAGGGTGGAGCTTCAAAGAAGAGAAGTTTGTAAGGAACGTCCAGTTCCTGCGAAACAACGACAGCAGCTGCTACGTTAGAAGCACCTGTCTGCCCTCTATGAAGGCAGGCCACTACCAGCAGCTTGTTTTCATCGAGAAGGATCTGATATGTCACGCATTCTCAAATAATGCTTTTTTTTATTTTCTGAAACTTTGTTTTCTTTGCCAATAAAAGAATAGTCACAACTTAGATCAATAAAATAAATGTGCACATACCCAAATGAGTTCATTTCCTATCCAGGCTCAGCCAAACGTGTCAGCACGTTGCCGGCTTGCTGTATGCGTTGATGGCGATAAAAACACACTAATGTACGGACACACCTTGCACATGGGTTGTTCCAAGCAATGGTAGGTACACATACCAACACTCATGTCCTACTTGATCAACACTTACCGCTCATTCACACTGGAAGCGGATCTGCGTTCGCAAAGCGGTTGCGAACGCGGATCCGCTTCCAGTGTGAATGAGCGGTTAGGGGTGCTTCAGAAATCAGCGTTTCACTGCACTGCATCGCATCAGGAAAGGCATGCGTCCTTTGTAAAAAAAATTATGATAGTCCCCTTACAAAGGTAGCGCGCATGGTCTCAAGCGGACGCACTGGAGATTAGCACAACCAAACACAATATCTGAAGCACCCTTTAGTAAGCAAAATTATGATTAGGCAGAGAGGTGATGCAAGTTTGAGAGACAAAACAATATATCTTAAAACTGTTACTATCAACAGATGCGTACCTATGGAATTGGTCAGGTTTGTGCCAACCCTTGTCCGCTTTTCTACCATTTGTTCAAAGAAAACATTAGGTCACGGTCTCCATCCCTCATGTCAAATATTATTCACAGCTGCAACTGTCAAGAATATGACCCCGCTTTGCTGAGGGCTGCAGAGTTTGTTTTGAGAAGGATATAAGCATCCTGCGCTGAACTCTGAAGCTCTGAACAAACTGTAGCGCCCTCATTTTGGGTAGTACAAGCTCACCTGATTGAGCCTCGCACTACTTATGGCACGTTGGTTGAGCTTCTTTAATTCTGTCCTGGTGCTGAAGAACGAAAAAACACCCTTGGACGCCAGAAATTGGCCAGACTCAACGTCGCAAGACAATCAAAAGTGCCGAATTCATGACACCACCGCTAGGGTACGTGTCTCGTCTTATCTCTGGGTGGTGACGTCAAAACACCTGCGTCGCGAAGCTTTCATTTTTCTTTTTCTTTGTCATGTCTACTTTGGAACACGTGAAACGGCATCCCTTGGCTCACG